GCGACAATGTTTTGGTCCCATCAGGCACTGGGATCTCAACCCAGAATTCCAGTGGGCAGGGGAGACTGCGGGAACTATGGGATAGCTATGGGATAGCTACCCACAGTGCAACGCTCCAGAAATCGACGCTAGCCCCGGTACATGGACGCACACCGCCGAATTAATGTGCTTAGTGTGGCTGCATACAATCGAATTTATACAACCTGTTTCCCAAATTCGAATTATCTAAATTCGGATTAATCCCGTAGTGTAGACATAGCCTATGTCTACACTACAAATTTCAAAGCGCTGTCGCCGGTGCCAGTGCTCCTGGTAATCCACCTTGTCAAGGGGATTCGCCCCGAGCACTGGAAGCTGAGCCTGTCCACACTAGTGTTTTAAAGCACTCAAACTTGCTGTGCTCGGGAGGGGGTGTGTGATTTTTCACACCCCTGAGCCAGCAAATTAGAGTGCTTTAACTTGCCAGTGTAGATAATCCCTGAGACTTAATTCAGTGAAACATTTTACATATATCCCTTCAGAAACAACGAATCCCTTATCACTGTATCTGAATGCATAGAGTCTCCGAGCAGTTTCCCAAGTTGTCTTATCTGCTGCTGGGCTTCCCTGAATTCTTAATTCTAATTTTTTCTTCTCATTTTTAGAGCAGATGTTTATTCTGTTGGATCATCTGACTTCCACTCTGACTGAATTACTGGCATATTGTCAAAACTTGGTTTTGAGTCAATCCACCAATGGTGTAAATATTGGTGGTCAGACCAATAGTCCGCCTAATCTAGTATCCTGTCTTGTGACAGTGGCCAATGCCAGGTGCTTCTAAGGGAATGATCAGACCAGTCAATGACTCATTGAACCATCCCATTGTCTACTCCCAGCATCTGGCAGTCAAAGAACGTTTTAGGGACATTGAGAGCATGGGCCTGCATCCCTGATTATCTTGGCTAATAGCCAATCTACTTATCCTGAGAGATTGATCTAATTCTTTGTTCAACCCATTCATAGTTTTTCCTTTCAAAATATAATGAACACACATCTAACAACCCCAAGATACCTTTACAACCACAAGAATTCTAAAATCATGACTTATACACCCTTGAGTCAAGAAATTTTAATAAATAAATGATATCTTTTCTGGGGCCTCTTTGTTCCTGAGCCTTAGGGTGCAGTAAGGCCAGTTCCAATGCCTTGAGCCTAAACACCTGAATGAATCTTAGGGTACGTCTACACTTACCAGAGGGTCCGGCGGCAGGCAATCGATGTTCTGGGATCGATTTATCACATCTGGTTTAGACGCGATAAATCGATCCCGGAAGTGCTCGCCGTCGACGCCGGTACTCCAGCTCGGCGAGAGGAGTACGCGGCATCGACGGGGGAGCCTTCCTGCCGCGTCTGGACCCGCGGTAAGTTCGGACTAAGGTACTTCGAATTCAGCTACGTTATTAACGTAGCTGAATTTGCGTACCTTAGTCCGAAGTGGGGGGGTAGTGTGGACCAGGCTTTAGTCTACCCTCATACTCCCAAACATTTAACATACCTAAGGCCATATCTACAGTTAAAGTGTGGGTTAACTCAAGTTATGTCACCACAGAGTCACTACAGTTACTATGTCACTTGTGTGCATGCCTCCTGGACTTCTTGCCTCAGCAGTTAGGGTACTCACCAGAAGCACTTGTATAGAATCAGAGTGAAGTGCACCATGAATAGCTATCCCACTGTCCACTCACTGTATTTTGGGAAGCTTTGGTTTGGCAGTGTATGCTGGGTACCAAATAGGTCAGGCAGGGGTGGTTGTGGCCATGGGATCAAACTTCTCATAATGCATTGTTAACCATCCACTAATTTTATATGTATTCCATACATAAACGTATACAAAATGTTTACACCTTTTTTTCTAAACCCACTAACCTGCCTGGCCCTCCTCACTGTCTGCCATCTCACACAGAATCATGGAGCTTGCATGGCTCTGCACTATTGTCATGAGCATTTGCACCCAAAGGTGCATGCTCCTTTAGTATTTGCAGATCAGCAAACATACATGTGGGGTGTGACATTATACTCTACTTTCTTTATGAAAATATGCTTATGATATGGATATGACATAGCTAATATATACTTTATGCAAGATGGCTGATGTGAGGTATCATTGCAAAACTTAAGACCTATAGACTGTGTTTATCCAACTTGTATGCATGTAACGTTTGTATCTGAGGCTAGAAATATTGACCATGTCTCTGTATTTAAAATGTGCTCTGTTGGATGAGGCCAGACAATGTTAGTGGCTTATTGAAGGAATGCACAAACACATAAAGATTATCCCAGGAACTGTGCCTCTGAACGACAGTGCTATACAATGGGGACTACTTGACCAAGATCAGATACCTCTATACACTGGGTGCTGTTTGACCCAGGTCACAGCAAAAGAGCCTTCCAGAAACTGGGGGGAAGAAAGAAAAGGTGGACAATGACAGCCTACAAGAACAACCGGAAACACCTGAGGTACAAAGACTGAATAGTGAGAAATGATTGACCCAGCAATCTGGATGATGGGAAGACAGACACTTCAGCTCACCTCAGCATACTGAGAACGAGAAGGATCTGATATGATCAACCACTGAAGAATAATCCAGGTGTGTCTAATATATCTGGTGTCCCCATTATGCAGACATAGTCCTTTTTCTCACTGCTAATAAAACTAATTAGCAGTGAGAAAACAACACAAGACAAGTTAAGTTTTAACAGTGAAGACAAAGGCTACAATCAAATGAGAGCGCAATGAGGTGACTGACATATGAGTACCACAGTTCGGAGTGTAATTTTGGTGGTGATACCTCTTTGCTCATTATGTGTGTGTAACAGTGACAGAAGTGGAAGTCTGTATAAAGCACAATGGCAGATTTTCTGCCTATGATCTTGCTTGTCAAAGGAATTAAATATTTCACATACTATGTATAATGTTTTTCACTACTCTCAATGTTTTGTGTGCATTCAATGTTTTTTTTATTAATAGACTGTATGACCTACAGTGGAAAGTGGAAAGGGACTAATAAATATTTCTTTTTAAATATTAAAAGGGTTTTCATTAAGGGTTTTTAATGCAATATCCATGAAATTCCACTTGCAAAAGGTTTTTTAAACAGTCCTGAAAATATAGGAATGTTGACTTGGTTCTCTCTACTCCAAAAATGTGTTTGGTATCAAGTGTTTGTCTAATGAGTATTTTGAGAATGGCGACTAAGCATCTTGTCATACAGCGAAAGTGTCAATTAAGATTTCTTGAGTAATAAATGTGTAAATAAGGCTGTGTTACTGGCCATAAACCATGGTGGATTTGATTTTTTAAATCATAATTTAAATCACTAGTCATGAAGACTCAATGTAATCATGGTTTTCTAGATAAAAATGCATTCCTGTTGGTTGTTATAGCCTTAATACATATTCTTCTTAGATCCAATGGTGCGTTATAATTTGTTCTGCTTGTGCAGATATTCTTTAGATTTCAGATCCCTGACGTAAAATAGCCAAACTGCATGTTTGAACCTGGGCCTGTGTGATTTCAGTCAGTTGGATAATTTGGTTATTTTTCTTCATTAGTTTGTACAGACTTGTCCAATTGACCCACAAAGAAAAGTTAAAGTTTAGAATATTACTGGTATCCAGTGTGTTTGTTCTTTTATCCTCATGAGTTGGGAAGTAATAGGTTAAAGTTGGAGTTTTTAACATAGTTATATTACACATACATTGCTCTACTGGTGGTTCTTGCCATAAAATCTCCTCTAATCCAATGGCACTGTAGCAAGGTCAAGACTCACCAGCACAGCGCCTCCTGCTGGTCGTCTAGGGAATTAGCTCTCCAATGTACAGAGTGCCTCCTACTGGCCAGCGTACAGAGCCAGGGTCGGTGCAACCACTAGGTGCACTAGGCAGTTGCCTAGGGCGCCAAGTGGTTGGGAGCGCCAAAAAGCGGTGCCCTGGCTCGGAAGGGAGGAGCCGCCTTCCGGAGGCACCGGAGAGCCAGAGCGTCGGCTTGCGGGGGCAGCGAGCCCCAGCCATGGAGGAGCCGGCGCAGCGCGAGGGGGGGGTAGCAGCCCTTCAAAGGCGGCGGCAGGGCATGGGGCCCTGAGCCTGCTCCGGGAGGGGCAGCGGCAGCTCACACTCCCGGGAGCCGCAGAGCGGCGAGGGGGGAGCCGGGGGGCGCACGGGGGCCGCCGCCCGCATGCATCCCCTGTCTGGGAATTGGTCCTGCTTTAAGCAGGGGGTTGGACTAGATAACCTCCTGAGGTCCCTTCCAACCCTGATATTCTATGATCTTGCCTTTAGTAAGGCTTTTGATACTGTCTCCCATGACCTTCTCATAAACAAACGATGGAAATGAAACCTAGATGGACATAACAATAAATAAGATGGGCATAACTGATCTCCAGGGATCAGTTGTGGATATGTTTCTATTCAAAAAATTAATGATTGAGATAATGGCATAGAGAGCACTTATAAAGTTTGTGAAAATTTAAGGTCTAGAAAACATGACCTATGAGGGAAGATTGAAATATGATAACAGTTTTCAAGCATGTACAAATAAAGTAGCATCTTTTTACAAAAGCAGTGTCTTACAATCTATACGTATCACTAACTGCTACAGATAGCACGTTTCTACACGGAGCAATTTCACATACACTATCGTGCAAGAACCTGCTAGCTGTAGGCATTTGCTACATCAGGTAGCAGTTTAATACAATAGCAGTTTCTTACAGTCTATACGTATCGTTAAGTGCTACCGGTAGCACATTCCTACGCGGAGCAGTCTCCTGAACACAGCTCCCAGCTCGGCCCGGCTGAACCCCGGAAGCCGGTGTGACGACAGGCCGGGCCAGGGCGGAGCATAATACCGGGTTCCCGGCCGGCTCTCTGTCACGGTGCAAGTCTCACCCCGCCGCAGAGCCCGGTCCGGAGTCCCGTCCTAAGGGAAGGATCCGTTTCCCCTGCCCGGGTGTCTGTGCAGAGCCGCTGCCGCCGGTCTCCCCATGGCGAGCTGCTTCCGCGGCCCCCTCCCGGGGCGCCCCTCGCTGCCGCTGTTCCTGCTGCTGCTCCGCGTCTCCCTGGCGCAGGAGCGGGCGGCAGCCACGTCCCTGCTGAGCGGCTATTTCGGGACCAAGTCCCGGTACGAGGAGGTGAATCAGCACCTGCTGCAGGACCCGCTCTCCCTGGGGCCCCCGGACCCGGGGTACCTGCTGCCCTCCGCCGCCTGCGCCCCGCTGCAGCTCCGCGCCCTCATCCGCCACGGCACACGCTTCCCCACCGAGAAGCAGATCCGCAAGCTGGGCCAGCTGCACCGCCTGCTCCGCAGCCAGGAGCGGCCCTGCCCCGCCGCGCAGCCGTTCGCCCACTGGGACATGTGGTACCACCCAGACATGGACGGGAAGCTGGCGCCCAAGGGCCGCCTCGACATGGAGCAGCTGGCCCAGCGTCTGGCCGCCCGCTTCCCGGGCCTGTTCTCCCGGCAGCGCCGCTTCGCCTTCGCCAGCAGCTCCAAGCACCGGTGCGTGGAGAGCAGCGCCGCCTTCCGCAAGGGGCTGCTGCTGGCCCTGCACGGGCAGCTCCCGGCCAGAGGTAACGGAGCGGGAAAGGATGGCCTGGGTGCCCCGGCACACACACACGGGGGGCGGGGGGGGGATAAAGTGGGGCCCTGGCCTGGGGGCCCTTGGGCCCCAGCACACACCACTGGCGCAGGTAAGGTGGAGCCCTGCCCGGGACTGGCTTACGTGCCCCCAGCACACACGGCGGGGCTAAGGTGTGGCCCTGCCTGGGGCCCCCCCAGCACCAGGACTGGCCTGGGGGCCCTCAGCACACACATGATGAGGGGGAGCGCTAAGGTGGGGACTGGCCTGAGGGCCCCCAGCACAGATGTGGGGGTGGAGCCCTGCTCGGGACTGGCCTGGGAGCCCCCAGCATACACCCCTGGCACAGGTAAGGTAGAGCCCTGCCTGGGGATGGGGGTAAGGTGATACCCTGCCTGGGACTCACCTTGGTGCCCCAAGACACAAGTGGAGTGTGGGATGCAGAAACAGAACTTCCCCCTTCCCCTCCCCCACAAGGGGAGGAGGTGTAAAACCCACCACTGCATAAAGGAAGCCACCAGTCCTTGAAACAATCTAGGATCACTGCCATTGTCTTTCCGGTGCCCTCTCCAGCCCTAAAGACCTGTGATAAAATTGGTTTTAAAATGTTGTTGTTGTAGTAGGTAGAGAGGAAAATATGTTTACCCTGTAATGGAAACAATCTTAAGAATAGTTTGGTTAGCATGGTTCTCAATGAAATCTGCATATCAGGGAAAGCAGCATTAGAGCCCTGCTTGAAAGACGTACAACTGAAACTAATATAGTTTTCCATTTCTCTTATTGTGGACAGGATTTAAGTCTAATAGAAAGATTATAATTAACCTCTTAATTGTGACATTATAACATTTTGTTTTTTTGTTATAAATTAGGGTATCTGACAGGTTGCCTCCCCATTCAGTTCCCAGACCAACTTTTGTAAAATCTGGCAGGGAATTCTTTAAATTGTCTATATTTTTGTGTGTATTGTAGGGGTTTTCCATTAAGAATTGTTTTTCCTTTCAGATATCGAGAATGAGGAGACTGAGATTAATGACAAATTAATGAGGTTCTTTGATCATTGTGAGAAGTTTGTAACCTGTGTAGAAGAGAACGCTACAGCTATGTACGAAGTGGATGCCTTCAAACAGGGTCCTGAGATGAAAAGGGTTTTGGAAAAAATTGCGGCTACCTTGTGTGTCCCATTGCGTGATTTAAATGCAGGTAGCGTACTTATTCTGTTTTTTGATCATTTAACTTGCATAAATGTTGTTTTCTAGGATCTTCAGATAGTTATGAAAAACAAATAGTTTAAAATGCTCTTTTATAGGCCTTTGGAAAGATTAGTGAAGACAGCATGTCATATCACTATTTGAAAAGAACAGCTTTTAAAAATGACTTGGTCTAACAAAGCCAAAGTGGGTAGTGTACCCCTGACATAAATAAAGAACCAGTTTTAACAGTTTAATTGAGGAACCCTTCTGGGAAAAGGACCAAAGTACAAAGGAACCCAAAATTCTGGATTACTTTTAAGGAAAAAAGTATAGTTTAAAAAAATTTGGCGAGATAATTTTAGTTTTACCAAATCACATACAAATTCTAGTTGTATTCCACTTTACTTGTGTTAACTTAAATTTCTTAAATACAGTATTGTGGCAATGAATATTCATTGTTAGTGAACAGTCAGAGAACCTACTGTAGAAAAACCCTTCCCATTTACCCCACAGATCATATTAACGTGATACAAGTTGAATGTCTATATTTCTCAAAATGTTCTTCTCTTGAAGAAAAGGCACAGGTCATAGTCTAAACTAAAACTGGTATAATGTGGTAAATGATTTTGTTTTTCCACATTGAAACTCTCCAGTATTAAATTCCATCTCCTACACAAATTTTTATAGAAACTCTTATATTAGAATGTCATAACAAAATGCACGCGTTGCCTTTGCTGCTATTGAAATAACTGATGCATTCATAATCCTCGTACCTTCAGCTAAATTGTAAGTGGACAAGTAGTTGCTAAAATAAGAATGATTAGAGTAGCTGGCAATGCGTTGTGTCTAATAGGGAATTTTGTGTAAGCCTATGGGGTCATTGATAGAGAATGTAAGAGATCACTATAATTTTGTAAGTTGTAGGTTTTTGTTGTTGTTCTACGTAAAACTTGCAAGGAATTGAGTTGGATTTGCTGTCTTAAATCAGCAAAGTAGTTGCATTTGTTCTTGCCGTCTAGTAGTCCAAATAAGGAGTAAACATAACCTTATTTCTATATCGTGTAACTATTGTCTACTGCATAATAATAATAATACACACCAGTAGATGTAAATTACTAAACAGGTGATGGTTACACTTGCATGTCCCTTCTCTGTGAAAGGCTTACAATCTAAGGCCCTGATCATATAAACATTTGAGTAGGCCCATAATGCAAAACTGGAGCCTTAGCATACCATACATTATGTGTTTGGGCTCTGGATTGGATGTTATTTTATATTCTTGTTTATATTCTTCCTCATAATAGGAGGGTGATGCTGGGAGTCATGGTAGAGAGCAAATAAACTTAATTGTCATCTATCACTTATTTATTTGGATTTATTACAGATTTGGTCCAAGTTGCTTTTTTTACCTGTTCGTTCGAGTTAGCTATTAAAAATGTGAATTCTCCTTGGTGCTCACTCTTCAATGAAGAGGATGCTAAGGTAGGTGTTGCATGTATGTAGTATCATGGCATTAACTTTGTGTAAAGTTGTTCTGTTCAGTTTTGCGTATTTATGTAAACAGTTTGTTATATGGATATTCTTAGAAAAAAGAGGTTTTAGTTTATTGTTTCATTCAGACGCAATTCTGCAATATTAAAGACATTACATGATTTACTACATTTATGAAAAGCAAATCTGAGCATCAATTAGAACATAATGTAACAGAAATACCCATTTTTCTGTGTTAAGTGACCAATCATTTAGACTTCTAAAAGAGAAATGTTTCTCCTCTCTCTTTTTGTCTATCAGGCTTCACTGTGCCTGACAAAAAACACTCAAATGTTTGTCTTTTCATCCCTCTCCCCCCATAAAAAAAAGACCAGGTGAAAACTGAACTTGAATATGTATCATTTATTCTTGAAATTGTGAAACAGTACCCAGGGCCGGTGCAAGGCAGTTTTGTGCCCTAGGCGAAACTTTCACCTTGCGCCACCCCCCCACCCCCAGCTAACCCTGCCCACCGCCCCCCCCTGCGGCAGCTAACCCCGCCCGGGGAGCCCGCCTCAGCTCACCTCCGCTCTGCCTCCTCCGCTGAGCACGCCGGCGCCGCTCTGATTCTCCTCCCCTCCCAGGCTTGTGGTGCCGATTGGAGGAGAATTAGAGCGGGGGCTGTTTGCTCAGCGGAGGAGGGAGAGTGGAGGTGATCTGGGGTAGGGAGCGGTTCCCCTGTGCGCCCCCCCACCCCGTTCTTGCAGGGGGCCCCCCCCGCGCCCCCCCCCCAGCTCCCCTTCACTCCACCTCCTCGCCTGAGCGGGCTTTTAGGCGCCCTCAACCACTCGCCCTGACAGTACCCCAGAAAATCAGTGACAGCAACTTAGAGCAGCCCTCTTAATAAAAAAAGTCCTGTGCACTCAATGAGGCAGGGGTCCTTTGGAAAAACATATGTCATGATGCAGTTAAAGACTCTTACCGAGACTAAACACAAGAGGGCAGAATTACCGGTAAGTCTGCATGGGCAACTGTAATTTTGGCATTTGCCTACTTTTGCGTGGTTGACTATAACCTTTAAAATTTGTTTAACTTCATTCATGTTAAAAAAGCAAATTAGGAAAAATCCAACAAATTCCATCATGTTGAACCATATTGACTCCCACGTGACTGATCAGCTTTAGAACCTCTAGATCCACAGCACAGACATCTGTTACTCGAGCTAATTGATAGCAGTAGTAGGTTGTTGTCTACATGGGCCACTTGCTAGAGGGAGATGAGATACATTTTACCAGTGGGTTTCCCAGCTGCTTACTGAAAGAAGAATGGTGAGACTCCGGAATCATGAATTCTATTCCAGGTTCTGAGGGGAGGATTCTCTAGTGGTTAGACCTTGTGTGCAGTCCCCTCCAGCTTGTCCCAGTCTCTCTACCTCTATTTTTTTTAGAGCATGATAGAATTAGTGTTCAGATCTGCAAGCCCTGAAGGAAGGAACAAAAAGTAAGAAGCAATAAAAACCAACAGAGTAAATACTTGTAAGCTTGTGGCTAAGGCACAGGATCTGAAGTCAGGAGATTGGAGTGCCACTCTTGACCCAGCTACATACTTTTTGTGACTGTCAGCTTGTCTTTCTCCTCCTGAGTTTCCTCATTGGTAAATTAGGATTAACATTCTTGCCTAGCTCACAAGATTGTTGAGAGTAACTAGTGTTTGTAATGCATACTTAGATCTTTTGATTGAAAGTGGTAAAGAACATTATTCACTCCTCCACAGAAAAATATTAGATTGGTATCGGAAGAGCCCAATACAGGGAGATAACTATGCCTCCCAATGTTTCTTGGTGTGGCACCATATATAATAAGAGTGCCTATACTTGCATCCTCTCTATTTCAGTTCTTCATACTACAGATGTAGGCAGGAAAGCTCACTGGTAACTGATGTTGCCAGAAGAGTTCTGATCTAATGAAACAGTGAAACTCGCATTACATCCATTGCTTCATGAGGATTCAGTACTGTAGGGTAATTTAGACCTACTCATTACAGGAAAAACACCTGAGAGAGTTTTCTGTCCCTGTCACATGTAACTCACTATGATACTCTTAATACGTTTGAGCAGTTATAGCAAGAACGTATTTCCCCTCCCCCTGCCAAAAAACAAAATAAGGTTTGGTGATATCTTCATGTTGCACCAGTACTCTGTGGAATCTGCACTGTTGGTTTTTGGATGGAAATTCAGGGTGTTGGTTTTGACCTATAAAGGCCTAAATGGCTTGGGACCTTCCTGTCAAGCAGAAGGCCTCTCATCTTGTGTGATACTGCTGCAGCACCGATCAGCAGAGATGCTTGAGCTGGAGCCCCTTAGTTTAAATATGAGGGAGTTGCTGCTGGGACATATTCTGTAAGGGGCCCTGGACTTTGGTATTCACTTGATCATTCTCCCAGCCCAAAATAGCCTGAACTTGTTGACCATCAAAGCATGCCATTTTTATCAGGCATTGGGGGTGAGGGCAAAAGAAGAAAGGAAGGGTATCTGTGAGATGAGGGTTTTTTGCTTCAATTGAATGGCTTCCCCTTGTTTGGTTTGGTTTTTTTGTTTAGTCTTATTAACTGTTCCATGTTTCATTTTAAACAAGGGGATTGTATTTGAGGTTAGGGTACCTAGGGCCATTTAGAGAGACACCTTTGTTTTTAGAAATTGAACTGTATAAATCAGGGGTCGGCAACCTTTCAGAAGTGGTGTGCCGAGTCTTCATTTATTCACTCTAATTTAAGGTTTTGCATGCCAGTAATACATTTTAATGTTTTTAGAAGGTCTCTTTCTATAAGTCTATAATATATAACTAAACTATTGTTGTATGTAAAGTAAATAAGGTTTTTAAAATATTTAAGAAGCTTCATTTAAAATTAAATTAAAATGCAGAGCCCCCTGCAGCGGTGGCCAGGACCTGGGCAGTGTGAGTGCCACTGAAAATCAGCTCGCATGCTGTCTTTGGCAGGCGTGCCATAGGTTGCCTACCCTCTGGTATAAATCATGTTTTAGTCTACCCCAACATTAACTATGTTCCTTGTCACTGGAATAAGCTTTAAGCCTCCTGCGTTTGATAGTCCATATGCTTCTGGAAAACATAAATCTCTCTACGGCTAAGTCAACTGCTAGAGATTGGAGAAGATAGTACTTCAGGTATAAGAATGAGGATTGAAACTGATCAGGGTGAAGATGGCTTAACATCTTAAGTTTGTTGACATGATGTAATAATGCCTGGTACTTTGGAAGCCTCATAAGATGCACTTTCCAAAGATTCTAAGATTTATAACACAATGGGGCATCCCTTGGATTAAGCATTACTAAAGTACACTTAGTATTTATGGAATGTATCGGATTCAATGAAGTCAACAAAGTTGACTTTTCATTTTCTCCTTTTAGGCTTTCAGAGCTGTAAAGATATTGTACCCTCCCAAGATCAGGTATCCACTGTGGAATTTGGAGACAAATGTCCCAGCACCAAATTTGGTGCGAAATGTATTAATTGCACCAGCTTTCATTATCAGTACAAAGATGTAGAAATAATATTTAGTTGGTTGAGGCTGTCGTGATGTGTACTGTAGGTGGTCATATGGACAAGGATTAGAGGCGTTTTTTTGAAGAGGTAGAGGACCCTTTATATAATATATACAGAGATTTTTTTTTGTCATTTGCCTTCATCCCAAGGGGCTATAGTTTGGAGTGTCAGTGTGACAGAAAGGTTCTGGGGACTTTTTTTTAGACAGCCATGATGACTTAGATGTCAGTCTAGGTTCTGGTATTCCTTTGGAGTTAGATCACGCATGTAAGAGTCATGTATGATCTGTTTCTGCTTAGATTTGGCTGCTGGGAAGATCAGCTGTCCTTTCAGATTATGCTGTGTGTCTCAGCAGCTTTTGGTATGACTGACCAAGTTGGGGACAAAGGGCTATCGCTGTAAATTGTCTTTCAGAGATTGTCACTTCTAAAAGTTGGTCAGAGATGGTGGGCATATCACTAAGGTATCTGCTGTGCATCCCTGAAGAAGTTATATGGCCTGTGGTATACAGGAAGTCAAACTGGATGATTGCAACTGTACCATCTGGCCTTGGAATCTCTGAATAAAAATCAATTTTGGTCAGCTGAGAGGCCTCTTAGTGTGAGCTTATAAACACTGTGAAGACCAGGGGTCTCAAACTCCATTTACCTTAGGGCCAGTGCCAGTCCTCAAATACTCCCAGCGGGCCAATGATGTCACTGAAGACGGTGTTCAGAAAAGAAAATGTTTATATTGTATTTTTTATTTTGAATTTCTTAGAAATAATAAAACTATCATGCAACTTTATACAATTCTTCGCCTGCCAGAGAGTTTTTAGTGTTTGCCAGACTCTGGCAACGCTTCAGTTCTGTCAGTTTCTTTGTTTGGCCTCAGTGACTGAGCAGTTGAAACCTTCAGGATTGCAGCAAGGTGTGCATCAGATAGTTGTGTTCGGTATTTTGACTTGTTTATATTAATTGTGGGGAAAAAAGTGATGCTGCCTCCATGGCTGACTCTGCCCAGCAACTAGTGATGGTATCTCTGGCCCTCTCCCCCAGCCAATGGGAGCTGCGGGGGGCGGCACCTGCACCCAACATTGCCGGCAAATGTTTGCCTGCGTCTCTCCTCTGTGGGCCACAGTGGGGAGGATCTCGGGCCGCAGATGGCCCGTGGGCTAGGACTTTGAGACCCCCTGGTGTAGACCAATACAGAAGCATCAGTATACTCATAAGTAAGACTAAGATTTTGTCATGGATACTTTTAGTAAAAATCACAGACGCCCATGACCTGTCCCTGATTTTTAATAAAAATACCCATGATAAAATGGGAAGGGACCAGGCAGTTGCGGGGTGGCTGGGAGCTCTGGGGCCCCCACCACCCATGGGGGCTCAGAGCTCCAGGGTCTCCCTGCTACCAGCAGCGGAGGAGAGCTACAGGGTCCTCCTACCCCAGCCCCAGCAGTGGAGAGCACTG